TACCATACATGGAGAAGTGTTATCTAGGTTACATACAGTAGTAGACTTAGCACTTAGATACTCCCAAGACTTATCGCTTACAGAACACATATCGAAACAGACCTCTAAGTCACAACGTCTAGTAGGTTACATAATTCGAAACCTTCACAACAATGAATCACGAATTTTCATGCACAAAGTTTGTGTTCGACCTCTTCTAGAATATTGCACGTTTATTCTTAGCAGTGCGCGCATAAAGGATAAATTAAGGCTGGAATTAATACAGAGACGATTTACACTTCGTATTCTTGGAGCTGATTGTACCTTAACTTATAATTCTAGGTGTAAAAAACTAGAGCTAGACGCTTTATGGAAGAGGAGACTCAAACTAAATCTTATCTTTTTCTTCAAACTACTTAATAAACTATCCTTTACATCCAATCATGTAATTCAATATGCAGAGACTCTTCATTATGAAACCCGTAATTCCTTGGCACTGGTGAAACAAACTTATTCTAAATCATCTCTTTATATGAATTACTTTGCCTGTAAATTTTCTAGACTCTGGAATAACCTACCAGAACATATCCGTACGATAAAATCACTTCCATTATTTGTTCGCTGCATCGATGCATATTGCTCCTCCGAAAATGCATTGAATGCTCTAGCACCGGTAAGTGTATCTCACTCCACAAGTGTTATTATAGGAACTTTAAATGTTCAGGCATTTTTATTAGTGAATTCCCTAAGCAAAACCACCTACTTGCTGTCACTTAATGTAAACACCGTCCCCAACAAGTTTAACTAACTTGAATAGCATCAACACTATAACACTGTGTCACATGACACACGCATTTTGATAGATCTGATTGATATATTTCGGTAATTACTGCTTTGTTGTTCCGTGCTCTCTGTTTTCGTTTTAATTTCTCTAGTTGTAGATAATTATCATTAATTCGATCTGGCACAGGAAATTGACCTTAATTACACCGTTCATAAATCAACAGACTGTCCAGTTAAGAAGTATTAAAAGTTCCAGGCTGATGCATTGGATCGCTGTAATACCTAAACAATTACTGAACTAGTAACCTTAAAACTCCTATCACATGTTTGTTCTGTACATATAATGATATTATTTATACCATATTGATCATGCCTGTAAACAGGCGTGAAGTCTGTAATTATTGTTTTTTCAGAATATAAATTATTATATGCAAGTTATAACACATGCAATCAGTAGTACTAACCTCAATGGTAGTATCGCGTCTTCATTGTGTTGTTGGGTTCGAATCTCGCGGAGGTGGGGGCGGGATTGTGGATGCGCATTGCTGAGGAGTCACACAAGAGGACGAAACAGCTGTCCAGTGCTTCCAGGTTTTCCATAGTGGTCTAGCTTCAATTGACTCATGATTTCAACCATTGAAATTAATTATGCATCATTTGATAAAAGGTATCAATGAGATCTCATTTACTTATATAAATACCGATGAATAAAATACAATTATTTATAATAATTATATTTAATTAAATCACAAATAATAGGATGAAGTTAATTTGATAGATGTTTACTGGATAAAAAATAAAGAAGCAGATGAACTACTACCATTGTAGTGAAGGAGAACTTTGGTGAGGACAACCGAATGTATTTAGCTAAAAATTACAGAGTTAATTGGTAAAATAGTAAAACCATATAGTAAATGGTTAATTTGCAAAATATCAATCCATCAATTCAAACTGGACTGTTCCTGTTGCAAACATCAATCCATTGACCGATATTTCATTGTTCATGCGTTTTCATACAAATTGCATTGTGTTCCTGCTCTTCCTTTCTTGATCTTCCCCCACTTTTGCTGGCAGACATTACGTTTTTACCTCGCGTCATGTACTACTTATATCAATATAAGTAGCGCTCACCACACTACTAGTGAGTAGTAGTTGAAAATGAAAGACACATTGAAAACGGGTAAAGTTTATTAGAGCTTAACTGTGATGGTATTGTTTATAAAAGGAAATCATTTGTTTATGATATCGAAGGAATGAAGCTCGGCACTATGGATCTAGGAAATGTCATTCGGATTTATAGGTAAACAAAAACAGACCATAAAATAGAAAATAACATTTGTACAAGACCAAGGTAAAATGTCTGTGATTGTGGGAGACCGTAGTCAATAGATAATTGCTCTGGTTGTTAGTAAGGGAGTCAGCCTCTAAGAATCTCGGCTTCCATCATGAGGTGTCATAGTTCTTTCAACTCCCATGGCAGAGTTTGTATTGTTTAATCTGGTTAGCGTTTTTTTCTATGGGATGGGGTTGATGACCTTTTGCCCAACTACTCTCGTTTACCCGGGCTGGGGACCGACAATACGTAAGAATCCGATCTGATATAGTCAGTGACAATAATTCAATTGGAGTCACAATCTTGAAGCATCTAATTCAGTAGCTTGGACATCTACTACGAATGTCATCCAAGAGGATTCCACGTCGTACACTATTTGTTGGTTGTATAGGGCAAAGGTGGCCTGTGTATGACATCTGTTGGTCCTTCACGGATCCAGTGGCTTGAGAAGTAAATAAACATGACACAGAATAGAAGTCAGTGGCAGTCCCGGTGTAACATCATGTAAATGAGAGGAACTTAATTTAAAAAATCCTTTATGGTTGTGTGTTTCTTTACTGGAATGCTTCTCCCATCAATTACTGTTTCCCACTCTCATACATTAATTTTTACCCCTTTTGGTTATTTTTTTTATTATACTCACCTTCCTTTCTCTATCTCTTCACAATCTCATTTTGTTATTATGTGCTACATATATATTGGTACCCCTCTGTCCCAAGTCAGATCTTAATTGATTGGCGAGCAGGTGATCCACAAAACGTTTACTTTTCCTGTTAATAATCATGAGACTTTATTATCATAAAAAAACCTATTCTTTTACTTAGTAGCCCCCAAATGCCCTGGTACGGCCGAGAGTGGGGGGAGTCCGCTCTCCCTCTCGAAATGCTCTCACATGGCCATGCGTATATAGCCCATGCCAGGGAAGTCCTACTCACTGCCTTCTCGTGGCGGGGGTGTTGTTTACAAAAATGAGAAGACGAAAGGCGAATGTCTGGCGCTTTAACCGGACCCCAAACCAATGGTGCACATGGGCTCCAGTATCCTGCGGGAACAAATGGCGTATGAACCAATCGTTGGTCACCGGCTACCATGGGACTGCATCTCCTCACGATGCTCCACTGCCTTGTGGGTCAGACGTTCAGCTCGAAGGCTCGGGTTGTGGCCCCCTAAGAAAACCACCTGCTTCGGTTTGGGCACCCGGGCAGTATCACAGCCCTCACACAAATCAATTGAGATTTGTGTGGCGCATATGTATTTTGGTGCCTCCCTGTACCTATACTTATGTGTTAAAATAAATAAATAATAACTTAGTAGTCTATTCTGTGAAATTAGTTCATTTTTTGCAGTGTGTGTTAATAGTCTGATCCCCAAACGCATTGTATCCATCGAATTTCACCTAGTGTTCAGTATTCGTTTATCAAACTTATATGGTAACACGGCAATTGTTACCACATTTCAGAAAACCAACAGCAAGACTTGATAAAAGATGTTAAGAAATGAAATCGGTAATCCTAGTGAGTAAGATTCACAGCATTCAGATAGCCAGTATATATATATATATATATATATATATATATATATATATCTTATTTAGGCTATTGTAATAACCAGATCACTGGTTTACGGAACATAGAATACTTATTAGGTTTACTAACATAACTACCAAACAGTAATTTGGCAGAATCCAACAAGAAAGTATAAAGTTGTGTTTTTTTTGTTATTGAAAAAACAACTAATAGTTGGTTCTGCTCAATTTGTTAACGACTTCGTCGCTTAGTATCCCCTAGTTATCCAGGTTCTTCATACATCACAACTAATAATTGGTTATGCTCAATTTGTTGACGACTTCGTCGACTAGTATCCCCTAGTTATCCGGCTTCTTCATACATCACAACTAATAACTATACACTAATATTAGTAGTTTTTTTCTGACTTGTTGTGTTGTTTAGAATATTCAATAAAAGTAATAAGATAGAATAAACATAATCAGTTTAAATGTTATAAGTAATATATATATATATATTGAATAATTTTGAAAATGATCCTTGTGTACTCTATAGGCACACACACACACACACACTTATATATAGACATGAATTGGAGGAATCTATTTAATACAGAATAATACATGTTAAAATAATGAGAGAAGTACACATTTTGTCTAAGATATACATCTACATATACATATATGTTTATTAGTTGACATTTCGTGTATTTGTATGTCTAATCATATAAAAAGAAAATACTTGGATGAGACTATAATTTATGTGAACGAACTAAGATAAGAGATTTCGAATTTAAGCATGAAATTCACTTAATCCATTTAGTGAAATAATGTTTTGATCTGATAGCTGATATCAGTTCATGATGATGATTGATGATGATGAACAACCCGAAATCTAATTTCTAACCGTTAACTATCAACTATAAATCATAATTCTAATTCATCACATTGGTTTTAGTTCAAGTCATTAGCTGAACACATTCAATATTTTATGGTGTGGGTTACTTATATCCACACAACTAGTATATGACGGTGGTCAGGCATAGAATATATTTCAATAGAAGGTCGATAAGGAAAGAAGGGGAACGAAACTCAATTGATATGACAATGTATGAACAATGAAATCTGAGACAATCGATTGATGTTTACAACAGGAACAGTCAAATTTGATATGATGGATTGATATTTTGCAAATTAACGACTTACTATATGTGGTTCTCAGATTTTATTGAAATGTTCTGTAATTATTTGCTCAAATACATTCGATTGTCCCCCCCATTAATGTTCTTGTTCACTACAATATCACTTGAGTATCATTCAAAGATCATCCATAAATCAATAGTCTTATCAAAACTTTAAAAATATCCCCTAATTATGATAGATCTACTTGAGTTTTCTTAATTATTCAAATGAAATATTATACATTCTATGTAATATTTGTTGACAATCATTATAATGATATGGATGAGTGAATGGTAATGTCATAATATAAAATACAATAGGTAAAATCATTAAACCTATATACCAATAATAGATGGTAATATTTAATGATAATAAAGCATATCCAATATAGAATATATTCATTATGATTATAAGGAGATATTGTTCTGGATCATGTATAATATTCTTAATCAGTTGATATGGATTACATATAGGATGTATTATGCTATTTGTATCATTATTAATGATAGAATAATCAAATATTAATGGAAATCTATATAATGAATCCAATATACTATAAAATAATATCATATATGGATATAGATAATAGAATATTCCTCCAAATAGTATAACATGAATACATATAATGGGATATGCATATAACATATAATAAACATAATTAAACCAATGATAATCATGAAATGCAATCATAATTAATAATGAATAAATCAATAAACTAATTATGATACTTATCATATAATATAGAATAGGTAATGATGTTAATGGATAATTCACTTCAGATAAACATCCTGATCCAGCATATAGAATAGGATAAAATTCTTTAATATTATCTATAGGACAATGATATAATGTTAAACTACCTAATGGAGGATATAATAATATAATTAAGAAACTTGTTATGAAATGAATGATAATACAACATAGAAATAGTAACCATGATTTTTGAGTAATACTCATCTTATTACTAATAGTAGTAGCAGTAGTAGCAGTACTACCACTGCTGCTGCTACTACTACTACTAGTAGTAGTAGTCGATTGTTCTAATTGTTTTAAATCAATTTTTGTTAATGATAAGATTGGTAAAATTTGTAATAAGAATATAATAGGTAAAATCATTATAAATCCAATATATAACCAATTATATAATGTGAATGATGTTAAACATAATTCACATATAGGATTATATGGATTATTAAATTGATAAAATACTTTTGATCCCCATGTACATGATGTACATAAACTTGTATTTGATATTTGACCACAAAATTTTCCGGTACATTGTGGAAATAGTTCTAGATTGTTGTTGATGTGGTTGAGGATATAGTTAGTATCAATTGGATTCATGAAAATACCTGTTTAGTATATACAGGATAACAGCTAAATGTTAGTAATGAGAATAATAATATTAATGATAGGCAATTAGTTAAGATAACATCATTCACTACAAGTTCGTTCAGTATAAGGTCTATGTACTTACTTGTCCTTTTTTCGCTTCCCAAGTTTGTTTCACTGGATTATACTATTTGAATAACATCTAACAACCCTAATCTATTCCATTTAATGCTTATACTCTTATTACCTCTAACACTATGAGATTTGAATCGACAACTATATCTCTGTGTTAATTTGGTAAAGCAACTCGAAATGATGTACGTACGTACGAAGTTCTATTTTGTTAATGACTAAGTGCTGACTGTTAATTTATATGTAATTACTTCCTGCTTTTGTGATATACGATCAACGCTTACGGAAATCAGTTCAATGACTATTAACTATGATAGTGAGATAAACCGATTTCTGAGCCATACAACCAAACGTAAAATATGTCAAGATGCATTTAACATAGGTAGACCTAAGAAAAAATAACAAGACATTGAAATAATGTAATAACAATGACAAAAAGAAAGTAAACACACAAAAGAGTTTGATAAAACAGGATGGGATGGTATATCATGAAGGGATGTTAGGGTGGATTCGAAAGATAAAGACTAAAGTGGAAATAGAAGTATACGTATCACCCATGAGGGAAGAATTCAACTAACCGGATGTGTATATAGAGCTCCAAACACTACTAGTTCAACTGACACTGCTATTAGTGAGTGATTTGCTACGGCTGCCTCCCTTGATTTCGCCTACAAAATTGTTTGTGGTGATTTCAACAGCAACGCTCTCGACTTGATATTCTGTCATAATGTCACACCGACGTGTGAAGTGGTTGGCGAAAAGTTTAACAACGCTGATTGTAAAATAGTCTTACTCACTCTACTGTTTCTTGCAAAATGCAAAAAATCCAAGACAATAACGACACGTTTTCAATATACAGACTATGCACACAATGACTAGGGAAACTCTCGATTTCTAATAAAGCTCCCTGACTGGAGTAGTCTCTCTACTAGTGATAAGCCTTCAAAAACATTAGAAATGTTCAATGTCACCACTAGATAGTACTATATTATGTCTGAAATGGCACCCCATACTGTACGATGGTGTGACGTATTACGTCCTGTCATATGTGAACTACTAAGTGAATGGTTTTCCCACTATGGAAATAAATCTCATGCCCCAGGTATTAATATCAAGTGCACCAGCAAAAATAATCATAGTATTAGTAACTTCTAACTTATTAATATACACGCCTTCACCAAACCCTTAAGTTGAATGCAAGTTCTGATGCCGGTGATATCCCATTGATTGTTTAAAAAATGACAGGACCGAATATAAGTACATTATTACTCAAAATATTCACGTCACTCTTAGAAGCAGATACATACTTCGAGACTTGAAAGATAGCGTATGTTGTACCTATACACAAATCAGGACCAAAAAAATTTATCTAGAAATACAGACCTATAAATATTACCCCAATCATATGACGCGTAATGGAAAAAGTGATATAAGATGAATTATCTGATCACCTACTCAAAAAGCTTAATCCACCCGTTAGAACACGGTTTTATAAGAACAAGATTTTGATCCACATGCCTGATAGGCTTCTTTAACGAAACAATTCGTATACGTGACCAAAAACAACTAGTGTTTGTTTCGATATCAAGACAACTTTTGATAAGGTACTTCATAGCCTCTTAATCGACCGACTTTGGCGCGTTGGAATTACTAACCATCTATTGCAATGGATTAGTTCTTTTCTCACAAACAGATAGCAAATGACTAGAATTAATTCTACAACATTTACACACCGGCCACTAACCAATGGTGTTGTGCAGGGTAGTGTCTTGGGTCCATTGCTTCTTACAAACTACATCAACAATATATGCAGGTAATTCAACGCGGGTAACACTTACGTTTACGCTGGTAACTTAAAAGTTATCTATAAAAAAGACATTTGCAACATACAAAGTATTACGCAAACAATCCAGCATGAACTCAACACGATAGATAACTAACGTAAGCGCTGGAACTTTAAACTCAACACAGAGAAATGCAACTGACTATGTATTGGAGAAATGTCTATTAGAATAAAGCTAACACAAAGACAACGTACTGGTCAAACTCAAACCAGTGACTGACCTTGGGGTGCATTATTCGCAAAGTGTAAAACTTCGCTGAAAACTTCAGTACCACTTTGAAAACGACAGGAGGCTAGGTAGATTAAAACATATGTTTCAGGGATTCGCGACGAAATTCGCTAGTTCGTTTGGCAACCTAGGGTGCATTTCATCGGATCCCATGTGTTTGCTTATATTAAGCTCATTCAGCAAACAAATGCATATACTTCTTTGATGGTCACAGTGTCCAGTGTGTATGTACGTGTGAGGGGTTGTCTTGTATGAAGTGAAGGGACGGGTTCTTCTACGGTACACACATTGCCAAAGTAGATCTAGAATACCTGAGGTTTTCTGTAGTTGCCCTCCATGAATAATGAAACACTACTGTCGCCCCATAATGCTAGAATATTTCCCCTCCTTTCAATCTTTTTTACATTCTAATATAAGCTTTTAGTGCATTCGTTCTGTTTCTAACATTTTTTTCATACAGCCTTCTAGACTTGTTGAGGGTTGAGGCATAAATACTTCTACCATTCCCATATTGGAATTTCGTCTCGACAGAAACCAGTAACCTAATTCTCACCCACGTTCGTCTCCTATTACGAAGAAGGAGGTGAAACACCTTATTGGGCCACTGTGCAGAGTTCCAAGGACCCTATTTATAGTCCAATTTATTTGCGATGCAGTGACCTTTAATTACAAATTTATAAATACATCTTCAGCCTTTCCAACTGGGACGATGTCTCTACTGACCAATCTACTGTGGATGATGGTCTCGAACCGTTATCAGTTCATTGAATTGGTCGGGCTTGCCTATGATGATGATCCAATCGAGCCATTTTGTCTGGAACAACCGCTCTCCAATGCAGGAATATTTTAGAATGGTTGTAGTGTGTAGGGCTAATAGCAGCACACACAATTTTCGAGGTAGACGTCGTACTGACGACTGAGAAGTGTGACGTCAGTGACGTTTTTAGACGTCCAGTATAACAGCCACCTATGCGATTGTTGCTTGCAAGATTTTGCCCTCTTCCTTTATTAAAGCACGGCACGTCGTTTTGCTTGCAACTTATGAACCTAAGTTAATAATATAACCATATTCAAATTTATCCGCCAAAGTTTATTTGAGAATCACAAATTGTCGGCCGAAATATCGTTTTAATAATATTTATAACATTTACAAAACAAATCTTTAATTTTTCAGGTTCCCGGAGCATCAAACCAAAGACAAGGCAAAATCAAAATGTCCGAAGAGGGAGACGGTTGAAAAAATATGAGAGGCGGCGAAACCAAAACTTGACATCAGTCATGGAAGTCACTGACTTTCAGCGTGATCCATGTCGGAAGATGCAGATTAGATGGTTGGGGTCCTTGTGACTATCCTAGCTAATGGTTTGAGACACTGGTTGGCATGGCTGTAGCTGTATACACTCGTTGTCTTCCCCTAAACATTAGACTATGTCTTTCTTCCTACGAACTGATTTTATCCCCCTATATTATATCCTTACACAAAATGTTTTTTTACTACCATTAAAGTAAATGCTTCCACAAGTTTGCTGTCCAACGTTTTGTGCTAATGAGGTGTGGCAATTTAATCCGTTGCATTTATATGCCTGGTCTTCCTTTGTAACTGACTGACCCCCTGATTTTTACTTGGATTAAACAGAAAATTCACTGGACATACCTATACTGCTTAACTAATTTCAGTCGTAAGGGTCTTTCATTCCTGTCCTAAATAATCGTCAAATGAGCCCTACAGATTCTTGCATTTATGGAACGTGTAAAACATCACCCAATTATGACAAGACAAAGCACCATCAGCACCAATATATTGTGAGTTGATTCTTGTCTCTTTTTCATCAGTTTACTAGTCTCATGTGCACGTTGTTGACGCAACACTAATTTCATTTCATTAGCCATTGTCTTATTTACAAATACTGCACTCCTGAAGACCAAAATACATAGTGTACTTAAAAGGCGATCTGAACAAAGGTTAGAATATAAGACAGGGTGAAGAAAGAAATGAGCGACAATGCTATCAAATGAAATTCTGTCGAAAGATTTTCAGCGTTTTCTTCTATTTATGCTTGATTAAATGCTCACCACATTAAACACAAAGACCACTGTCGTGGTAATGACATACTTTGTATAAGCAAACAACATACAGCAGCTATTTTACAGGGAACTAGCCAATACAAATTATACAACAATCTGTTTGAAATCCAGAAGACAGATATTGCTGCAACGTAGTACATTGTAGTGAGACAAACCATTAAGTTCCACTGTATCAACGTAAGAAGACTAAAGGGTAAACATGAGAAACCAGAAAAGTTCCATATCAAACAGTCAGCACTCAAATACACTCCCACGTTTCTCACCAATATCTTCTTTCACTTGGAGTGCTCCACGACCAGAACTGACATTAACTTCATTCAGTAAATAGAATTAATGGGAGACTTGACAAACATCTCAGCCATGTATCTTCATCTTCCTTTTGGACCAGGTGTGACTAATTGATTTTTTATAAATCACCGCTGTTATCGTCACCGGGCATCAGTAACTACCCTCTTAGTATCTTATTATTATCTATATTCCCCCTCTCATTATTTTAACTCCATTTTCCCACACAGTACCAATTGATTAACCCATTTATTTATTCTTGAGTGATCGTCTTCTCTAAATAATTGGATTTTCTCACTATTTTTTTCACTGAAACCAGCCAAACTGGTTGGCGTGCATGGAGGATGGTTGACAGATGTATTGCAAGTAAGGATCGGGGTAAGACAAGGCTGCCTGCTCTCACCATTCCCTTTTCTTCCAGCGGTCGGCTGTAATACG